CGGGAAGAGCTGTGCTAGGTGGGCAGTGGTGGCACTGGGAGGGCAGGGCTGGGGACGGCTACAGTAAAATTGGGATGGCTGAAGCCCCCCTGTACCTCCTCCCAATGCTGCCACCTCCTGCCTCAAGCCCAGCCCCCACCAAGAAGAGCCTAGCGCAGCCCCGGCTCCAGCTGGCAGCTGCAGCCCATCAGCCCCACCCTACGCAGATCTGAGAGACACCCCTCCTCCCCCATACCCTTCTGGGGTGCATGAAGTGGGGGGAACCCCCCCCCCCATGCCTCCTGGATGAGCCACAGCTTTGCCCCGCCCTGCCAAGCTGAGCAGCATCTGCCCCTACCCCAGTCCCACTCCCTCCCTCGCTGCAGGGGGCATTGATCTGCCCTCTTTGCCCCCCATGCCCCTTTCCACCACAACAGACTTCCCAGATGGATGCAGCTGGATGAGAAATTGGATTAGTATAATCCGATATGCCTCCTTAAAAATGGGCTATTGGTATCGGCCCCCAAAATCTCTACTGGTTTACCCCTTAGTTGATAGAAGTTTATATGAGGATAATGGTGTCTTCAAGTTCATTTTCAAGCTTAGAAGGGCTATTCCAAGGCTGCAGATCATAACAATTAATACTGAGGATCTGTTGTACCATCATACTACTATACCAAGCACTATAAAAAACTATATGCTCTTCTTTCTTTTCTGTGAGTTCCTCCATGCATGGTTATATACAATATTCCAGTGCAGTTGACAAAAAATGACATACTCAGATAATAAAAATGGAATGCACACTCCATTATTCATGGTGCTTTAAATACAGATTGTGAGTATAATTTTGAATCTAAGTGCAGCAAATATATTATGGGTGGTTGTCACATGACAGGGTGAACTAATCTGTTACTAAATCAGAATACAAGAAAACCTTAGAAATTAAGGTTTTTTGTTTTACATACCATATTTTAAATTTGGTTTCTGTTAGTTGTTTCTAGTTAGGAAACAGTACTAAGTTTCCAGTTCTAGTTCTTACTACATTTTATTAAGGAAAAACATGGAGGGAGTTATAGAGAAATAGAAAAAGAAGGCAATAATAAAGAAGTAGAAAAAACATTCAAGCTTTATACTGTCTCGAAAGGAGGGGCAGTTAAGAATTCATAGGCTTGTGTATAAAATTAGATTCTGGGTCAGTGTAAGTCAAGAGAATTTAGTTTCAATAAAATCATAGACTCAACCAAAATGACAAGACTTAAGAGTAAATCATTTGTAACTCATGTCCTCATATTTTGTGACTTTGGTACAAAGACTGTGAAAGCCTGTTTTGTGTAACAGTAAAGAAGAGAGGGAATCAAGCCTTTAGAGGTAAAATACCTTCTAGAAATTGTTCTGTGCAATTCTGACTATTTCTAATTTTGTTTTAACAGCAATTTTTTCTTTAATGCAATCAAGTAGTGTCTTTAAAGCAAAAGAACTGGATTAATATGCAGAAAGTGATATCCTTTAAAAAAAGACTTTGAAAGACTGAATGACTTCCAGATGCCACTGCCAATATAATTCTATATCAGAGTGACCCTATAGTTGCCAGTAGTAAATTTCATAGAAAGGTGCCCTGAAGTAAATAGGCAGTTTAGCAAGTAAGTCTGTTGTTTTGAGCATTTCTATATCAAATGCTCCATTTTTTTGTCATGCGTGTTTATCTCTAAGGAACTGGGTTCCTTTATTTTGGGGGTGGAAGATATTAAAAGCATTTGAGAAATAAGAACAAAAACAAAGTCCAGGATCCAGCTGGTACCACCTCATAGAGCATGGGAAAGTTGGGCCCATGGGGGTCTTAAGATCCTGACCTAGCACATAGGATCTGGATTCAGAACTTGCGGAGACAGCTGCAAGTGGAAAGCACGTGGCATAGCTGGGTGCTTTGTGCTCCTTGATGAAAGTATGCTTTGGCTTTTGCAAAAACCCTGTTCCCATAAGTGTATATTCACTCAGTAAAGGGGAAGCTGTCACTATGGGTCGCAAAAAAAAAAAATAGAACCCCAAGGTCTTTTTGGTGCTGCAAGGGGAAATGGATGGCCTGGATGACAGCTTAGGTGCAAGCCTGTTTCAAATAGGTATGGAAAGATGGCAGAGCCGAGCCCAGATCCTCCACTAAAGTGTCTTGACTCTACTACTCAGCCTTGCAGTGCAGCAGGAACCACGTTTGGGGGAAAACATCTTAAAGAGATTCTTACTTAGTCACCTAAACAAGGTCCAGATTTTAAAAAAATGTTCAGTAATTATCAGTTCCTACCGAGACACTTCTGGCCAGACTTTCAAAAGCTCAGTATCTAGCAGGGCGTGGTGTGGGGAGGAGCTGAGGAGACTATAAACTTAGTACTACAGCAAACTGCAGATTCATGAAGTGTTACAGTATTTCTTTGAGGATGCCCTCACCTGTTACTAATCATACTGTAGATTATTTACTCTGAAGGAATTTTCAAAATGTAATTTACTTCTCTCATGTCCTTTTGTTTGGGCAATGATTATTTAGATTTTTGAATCAGTGTATGAACTATGTATTTCCTCCAATTACAGTCTAAAATGATCCCCCCCTTTCTTTTAAATGTTCTTTTACTGTGTATTGATTTTGTGTATGCACTTAAAAATGAAACCCAGTTGTTCATCATCACATTCAGACTCATTTTACCTTTGGGGTCTCTCTTTATTTGTAAATACAGGGGGTATTGTACAGTTCTGTAGAAGAACACAGACCTTGCCCTTAAGAAATGGTAAAGTCGGGGGGGGGGGACTCAAACAAATCTATGAGTATGGGAGACTCAAGTAAAGGATGAATGAACTTGATGAGTGAGACATACTGTGTTAGTTTTGCATGCTTTTGGTTGCTAATTAAACCTATGTTCATTTATGAAGACTTGGGAGTTTTGGGGAGGGGATTATCTGAATGCACTTGAATGCTGTGGTGCCAGGTCTATATAGGGCAAGGCAACATTCTCTACTAAAACTCCTTTAAAAATTCCACTTCAGTCTAAATTGTTTTTTTCACCTACTACTGTTAAAGGTAACAGCTATGAATAATTGAATGTCAGTGGAGGAAAAATATTTATTTCTCTATTTTTTTTTCATTTTGTTTACTTTATTCACTTGACAGCAATTTGTGTCTAGTCAGTTGCAGTGTTTCCTGTGCAGTCAGTCAGTCCCTATTGTTTGCCTGGCTACTTTGCACAGCAATGAGAGAGAGAAAAATACATTAAAGAATAGGGAAATGCGATTGCAATGTCACAAAAATTGGCAAGGGAAGTCCAAGGCAGGTGTTATATCTAAAGCTTAACTTGTTTAACTTGTGGTTAGCTTGTTTTTTAAATTGACTACATTTCAAACTGACAATGTCAATTTAGTAAGACTGTTAAAATAGCGTTACTGGCAGTATTAGATTGTCATTGTTGGTTTTAAATATTATTTCCCTCCCTTTTAGGACCAGAATCACACACCAGTTTCTCAGTATCGTCAAGATCCTTCTTTGATCATGAGATCTATTGTCCATATGACTGATGCTGCTCGTTCAGGAATTATGCCTCCTACTCAACTGACTACCATTAACCAGTCTCAGCTAAGTACACAATTGGGGCTAAATTTAGGAGGCACTAATTTGCCCCACACTTCTCCATCACCTCCTGCCAGTAAATCAGCAACTCCTTCCCCATCCAGCTCTATAAATGAAGAGGATGCAGATGAATCAAATAGAGTAAGTTATAGCATATACTATAGTGAACAAGCTGTGCGTGTGTGCATGTGTAGAGTTTTAAATGGGTGTTAGTAATAATACTGACTTTCAGCAGCTGTGTGGTCAGGTAAAATAAGCAAACAGTGCAGTAATAGAGAATCTGCTTGTGGCAATATTCATATGCTGTGGGCAACCTCTTTGCTTAGTAAAATGATACTTGCTTATGAAATGTACATCACATCTCTTCAGTGATTTTTTTGTGCCTTTGCATGCCTACTCCTTTATAAGGGATAAAGATAGTAGCCATATTGGTCTGTAGACAAAAGGAATTGGAACTCATGGTAGAGGTGGTATCTTTTATTAGACCAACTAGATATTGGGGGGGAGGGGATATTTCTTTACAAGCTTTCAGGCACACAGCCTTCTTCAGGTACAAGAGAATGCAAAGACTGTAAAATTTTTCCTAGGTTGAAATGAAAATTCATATTTCACAGGAGAGCTGAAGGTGTTGTAAGATCTCCTGTTTAGAAAAACTCCTTTATAACAAATTTCCAACTTTATGAATGTGATCGGCCTCTTGCTTCATCTACTTATAAAAGTTTTGACATTTTAACATTCCTTGATATTGTACATTTAAAAATATATACATTTTACTAGAAATAAAAGATGACCTTTCCCTTTAAATGAAAGTTTTAGTATGCCTGGGGTTCATTTCCATTTAGATTAAAATAGAACTGTTAGCAAAGGGTCTATTTTAATCTGACATTCTGATCAGATCAACTAAACTTAGTACAGTAAAAATTTATTTAGAGGCCCAATCTTGCATGTCCCATGTGCAGATCTCCTGATGAAATCAGTAGGAATTGCATTGTGGCAGACCCACACTGTAGGGTCGTAAAGAATCAAAGTAAAATAAATAGTCAGGGGAAACCCTTCCTCTATCCTATACCATTTGTGTCATCATTTATCCTTAGAGCAGGAAAAAACGGTGGAAAATACAAGGAACAATACAGGGTATGTACCCCCTACAACCCATGAAACTGCTTCTCAGAAGAATCTCATCTGCCCCAACATCAGGGGATTTTTTAGGAGAATTCATGGCCTGCATTTGGTGATTTATATAGATCTGTGAGGCTACCATTCCTTCATGGTGGATGTGGATGGGAGCAGCTGTGGGTGTTCACAACAGATCTGTAGCAGCTGAAGAGTTGCTATTGCTTTGTAGCCTGAGGGAAAGATTCCTAACCCCTGACCCAAGCATGAGTTAACAGATTTAGCTAAGGAACCAGGTCATGTTTCATACCTTCTTACTTTTGAGTTTCTATTGCTCAAATCTTGTCTATGTAGAAAACATATGCTACAGAATGTAACATGTATATAGCACATCCTGATTGTTTTTTTTCACAGAAATTACATAAAGGGCATGCTTATGGGACTGAATCTGCAACCTTTTATTTACATTGAATAGCAATTGCTGGTACATTTAGACCTTAGCAGCCAATGGTGTTAAATACCTGAGCAAATTCTACTTAGCAGAAGTAAGGGTTGCAATCAGGATTTCAAAATGTTACCCATCAATTAATCTTACTCATTAGTTGTTTAACAGAACTGTTGAGAATTTATCATACAGAAATCTTCTTATTTGTGTTTCAAGTACTGTATATAGTATACTGTAGACTCTGGGCTTTGTTGTTGTTTCTTAGACTGCTGGAGAGAAAAGAGCTGCTCCAGATTCTGGCAAGAAGCCCAAGACTCCGAAGAAGAAGAAAAAGAAAGATCCCAATGAGCCACAAAAGCCAGTGTCAGCATATGCCCTATTCTTCAGGGACACACAAGCTGCAATTAAAGGACAGAACCCTAATGCTACATTTGGAGAGGTTTCAAAAATAGTGGCATCAATGTGGGACAGTTTAGGAGAAGAACAAAAACAGGTAACAAAGAGTTGACTGCAGTGATGCATTAGGGTCTTGCAAGTAGTAAAATGACAATCTTTCTAACTAAATAGCAGATCCTCAGCTAGTGTAGTGTTGCTGCGCTGAATTTACACTGATTTAAATTGGCTGAGCAACTGTCCTCAGAGTAGCATCTTGTTTTATTACTCTTCAGATATTATCAAACTTATATCCTACAATTTCACATAATTATTGTCTTCAAGTTTTTAAATTTTTAGTATCAGTTTGGAGAAAGCAACCCAATACCCCATTAAGACCATCTGTTTAATAATAATTTGAAAGCTTTTTTTCCCCTTAAATTCAAAAGTCATAACAGAAGAAGGGCACATTTGCTATTTCCTTTGATCTTCTTCATGAATCTGCATAACAAAGCTCATGGGTACCAAAACTTTAAAGCCAATTCACTGTACTTCATTTCAAGAACCTAGTGTTTGAAATATTATTTATCATTCATTTTAAAATTTAGTACAGAATGTTGAATTTTCAGAGATCAGCTCTTCTTGCTTAAGGGGCATTCTCTTTTCCATGCCCATGGAACTCCTATGCAGGAATTAAAAAAGTTACAGATTCTTGAGGGTCTGGTCTGTTGATAATTTTGCACAATTCTCATCAGTTGTTAATGGGAGTTATGCTTGCTGGTGATGGAAGAAAAGGCCCTTTAATTCTAAGCAGAACAATAGAAGGAAGAAACAGGTCTAAGTCCTGCAGGTCTTTCATTACAAGTATGGTAATATGCAATATAGCTTGGTTTGGTGATGGATGTTTTAGTTTCATTCTTCTGTTCAATTAAAATCCCAGCCTTAAAAATATATTTTCTCAATCCTGAGATCTCCAATCAACCCTTAGTTTCCTCAACTTGGAAAACTTATTTAGGCTAAGATATGAAAGAGTCTTTTTGTGATATGCACTGTAAGATCTCCTTTGAAGGTTTTAGCCTACTCTTACTGATGCTGGCAATTTTAAGGTGAAGTATCAATACATTAAAAATAAGATGGACAAAAATGAAAGTCTATTGTTTCCTATATAAGTCAATTGGACTTTTATGGTCAGCTGCATTGGGAACTAGGTTTACATTAGTCTTGAGCACTTTCTCCACCATTTGGAGAAAATAGGTTTTTCTACATGTGCTCACACAGAACACCTAAGAAAATCTTTATTACTTAAATATATTGATTGGTTTTTGAGACCTCATTCCATTCTTATCTATATCAGCACATGAAATTTCACTCTTCCCAAGTCTCTCTCTACCTCTTGTCAGGACAGTTTTTGCTCCTAGAGAGGTAAAGTATGCACAAAAATCACTGGATGGAGAGAGAAAGTATGACTCAGAAGTACTGATTACCAGCGCCCAACTATAACGATTTGTAGCAGTCATGAAATGCTGTTCTGGTAAGAGATAACAGTGTAACCAAAGGAAAACCTAAGTTAGTGTGGTGAAAAATCCAGACAAACCTGTATTCACCTGCAGGTCTAGGTGCAATGCAGGGCAGTGTATTTTCAGTGCAAGTGTATTAAGAGTTTTAAGGGGAGAAAAATCATATAAATCAAGAGTATTTGTGGTTTGTGTTGTAGAGGCTAAGACAAGATGGTGCCTCTTGTTTCCTTTTATGTAAGTGAATGTGGCCCTATTCTGGTAAGAGTATTTTTTTTTCACCATAAAATAGTAAGCTGAAGCTGGTGCTAATTGTTATGTCTTTAATAGGTATATAAAAGGAAAACTGAAGCTGCCAAAAAAGAATACCTGAAGGCACTTGCTGCCTACAGAGCTAGCCTTGTTTCCAAGGTAAGCGTCATGGTAAACTAATGTTTAGCAATGGTTGTTTAAATGTGGGATTTTGTCATATGAAAAGTATATCTGGAGTCCCAGAGTTTCTTTAATATAATCCCCAAAGATTTTGTATAATAGCTTGAACTACATACTGTGCTTGTTTTTGCACAAAAATACTTTGCAGCACTAGTATCACAGTAATAAATATCAGACAGTAACTATACAAACTCACCTTGTCTGTGGTTATTTTTGGAAGCAAAAATAGCTATGTTGCATAAAAGTAGAGTTTGGTCAGAGAAATATGTCAGCTTTGAGAGAGTCACTATTGGTGCATAACTTTCCAAGGGGCAACTAGTCAAGAAGAGGCAAAATATATTGGATGAGGGTAGGCAGAGGGTAAATCACAAGGATCTTTTTGCAGGTGGAGAACAGGAATTCAGTGTGATTGTGAGTTTAAAACATTTTGGAAATGGACAAGCTGGCAGGTAGGAGGTAGCCACACAGAATGCTATAACAGAACCTGGTTAGAGAGACGAGAAAACTAACTTGCACTATGAAGAAAGACAGGTTGTATGTTCCACATAGGAAGGTGTTAAGTGTTCTAGGAAAATGCAGAAACAAAATCCATACTCAAAAACTGGAAGATTATGCATGTGTTATGTGTGTGGGGGAGAGACAGTTCATATAATATAATGTTATGTTGTCCTCAAGACAAAGATCCTTAATATGCTCAGTTTCTAATGCCAAGCTGCCAGCTAAATACCACTGAGAATATGGGCACTGGGTACTTTTGAAAATCTGACCCTAAGTTCTCTTTTTAAAATCCACAAAATCCTTTTGGACCAGCCTCTAGCATAACACACTGTTAGCACACTGAATAGTGCAGTGCCATGCAGATTCTATTTAGTTGTGTCACCAGAAACAGTTTTATTGCAAGAAATTTTATAATACATATTTCTTATTTGCTGCTACAAGAACATGCCTACTCAGTAGTGGCCTACATTCATAGGATAAGTAGGTGGAAGGGAAATAGGATCATTACACGGTGTCTATGAGTCTACGTGCGCACACACACATACTACAAATATGCAAAGTGTTGTATGACAATATCCCTGAGTTTCTTATCTTTAAGCTACCAAATTCCACACAGGTAACTCCACTGATTTCAATAAAGGTTGAAAGAGTTTAGCAATGGCAGACACTAGCCTCTTGTCAAAACCAGCACTGGACCTTGTACAATAACAGATTAATAAGGTGTGATAGAATTGGATCATTGAATTTGAGCCCCAGGGATCTTTTCTACATCCTGATTGATCTTTTTCAATACAAAACAGCTTCCTTAAAAGTTGTGAATCTTCTTTTCATATCAACTACATCTCTTTTTGTCCCTTTAAGATGAGAGGATCCTTACATTGATCTGAGTAATACAGAGCAAGGCTCCCTATCTGTCTAACTGATGGATTTAATTTAATGATAGAAATTTAAAGAAGAAATCAGATATGCTTCCAGTAAAATAATATAAGCTGCTGTAACTTACATTTGCTACATGAGCCAGTATAATAATTATACAAATGCTTAGGATGTATCCTCTGTCTCGTTTCATGTTAAGCTGGTTACATTACAGTATATGATAAAAGAAGGGAACTGTGATAGTTATAAACCTCATAAAAATGATCTGTTTTGTACCAGTAACAGCTCTTGAATCCCTCTCTCAATCACAGGCAGCTGCAGAATCAGCCGAAGCCCAGACAATTCGTTCCGTTCAGCAAACATTGGCGTCCACTAACTTGTCTTCCTCCCTTATTCTGAATACTCCTCTTTCTCAGCATGCAACAGTTTCTGCATCTCCTCAGACTCTTCAGCAGTCCCTTCCCAGGGCAATCGCTCCAAAACCTTTAACCATGAGACTGCCAATGAATCAGATTGTAGCTTCCGTTACCATTGCACCAAACATGCCAACAAACATTGCAGCCCCATTGATAAGCTCTATGGGAACAAATATGGTGGCAACACCATCTTCATCTCAAGTAAGCCCCTCAATGCAAACCCAGCAGCATCAGATACAACAGCTACAGCAGCAGCAGATGCAGCAGATGCAGCAGCAGCAACTACATCAGCACCAAATGCATCAACAAATCCAACAGCAAATGCAACAGCAGCATTTTCAGCACCACATGCAGCAACATTTGCAGCAGCAGCAGCATCTTCAGCAGCAAATTAATCAGCAGCAAATGCAACAGCAGTTACAACATATACAGCTGCAGCAAATGCAGCAGCAGCAGATGCAACACATGCAACACCAGTCCCAGCCTTCTCCTCAGCAGCACTCCCCTGTAGCCTCACAGATAACTTCCCCCATCCCTGCCATTGGGAGCCCTCAGCCAGCACCTCAGCAGCATCAGTCACAAATACAATCCCAGACACAGACTCAAGTGTTATCACAGGTCAGTATTTTCTGAAGATAAATGCTCTTGCTACACTGATTTGCATTCATCAAGGGGGGAGGGGCACACTATTTGGCTGAAAACTGTAAATTGTTGATGGTAGTTATGCAGGGATGCATAACAGATCAAATGATCCTCTAAAGTGTCTATTAGATAGGCAATAACGAACTACAATGTAGCTGTGTATCATCTTTTAGCTGACTATAAATCATTTTGTTTAAAAGAAAAACAAAAACAAACCCACAAAACCTGTGCTCTTTTTCATGTGATGCCTTTTTTAATTTATTTAAGCTTTACCTACAATATGTGAATCAAATGGCTTAATAAATACCTGGACCTTCTGACTGCAAAATGGCCCTTCTGAATTATGTAATAGTGAGTAATTATATTGTTCTTTCTCTAGAAGTGATTAATGCACTTAAGACGGTATGAACTCACGAAGTCCTTGAAGCACAGTTGTAACTACCTGTAAAATGGTGATTGGATTTCATACAGTCATATTTGTATGACATGAGTAGTTGATGGCATTTTTTGTCACAAAAAATCGTAAATCACAGATTTTTGCCAAAGCTTTTAAGTTTTTCTTTGATGTCTTCAGAAAAACAAATGCAAGTGACTGAACGTAAATGTTTGACCTATCTTTTCACTTTGATTTCTCCAAATAAACCTACCGTGCTTTGTAACAAAATATATATTGACACTGTTACCCCTGTTATGTTAATTCCAGTTGCAAAACAAATGTGAATATTATATTCTGTGTTTAAGTGATGAGTTTCAGATTTAATACACTGTATTTTTAAAAGGGAAATGCACTTAAATAAAACTGTTATTACAAAAGCTAAGATTAAAAAAATGCAAGAGTTTTTAAAATGCTGTAATACCAGTAGAATATTTAAAATAAGCTCCACATCTGAATAATCATTGTAAATATTTTCTTTAAAAGTTGTAAGTTTTCATATCATGTGTTGTAAAGTTTTCATAAATGAGGCTTTAATGTAAACACTGGTAACATGAACTATTAATTGCTACATTGCTTATTGTGTTTTTATGCTGTTTTATACTTTTTTATGAGTTATGATAGCAGCAATTAAGTTGTTTGTATTTTGCTTATCTAAAATAAATGCTTTTATCTTGCTATAGAATAAACACATTTCAGTAAAACTCATGGGCTGTAAGTGTTTAATGCAACAACCAAAACAAGTGTTTGCTTTAAATGTACTTTCTTTAAAAAATGTGCTCACCTTTCTTGATTTTGAGTTTGTGCAAATAGGTACTTTATAAAGACTGATAGTATTTGTTCAGGTTTTGTACAGTAAGTGCAAGTTCTTGTGTTCATGAGTAGAAAAACAGCATGTGTCTTTTGTGCTGCTTCTGTGAGGGGCAATATATATAGGAAATAGTGTATCAAATTATAAAACATTAATTTTATTTGAATTATAAATGCAAATATTATATTTGTAAACTACCTGAAGAGACAGAGTAGCAAATTGTGGTTGAATAGGATTATTTTGAGATGGTCATAAACTAAAATTCTGGATCTAAGATCTCTTGATTTTTGTTGTGTTAAAGATCCAGGTACAGTTTTAGCCTTAGGTCATTTAACTGGCTAATCTAAAAATCACACTTCTGAAAATTCTCAGCTTCATGACTCTCTAATTGTCTGAGTAGTGTATTTTTACCAGACAAGCACAAACGATGTATGGAGATAAGAAACCCAAACAATTTTGCACGCCAGGTTTGGAATCCTTCTCTTCCAACATAGAACTGAGATCCTGGTACTGTTTACAGTTGTTTTTTGTTTTATTATTGACAGGGAAAAGAAATCCTTTTTTTTCCTTCTCTAATTTTCTTTTCTGCACTAGCTGCAGTACAAGTGCAGTATGACCACTATCCCCAGTTGTCTTGCATGATTAATTACAGCATCTGTCCTGTCAGAAGCTATAATGAAGAGGTCTTGATAAAAATTGCAAATTACCACTGGCAACAATCTTAAACTGCTTATGATAAAATGAAAATTAAAAACAGCAAGTGTCAAGCCTGAGCAGAATCCTAATCCTGTTAAGAGGTGGTGTTCATGTCTGCCAGCTCAGAGCAGAACCATAAAAATAAAAATATAGGTTCCTAAAAAGTTGCAGTTGTAGTTCAGAGAAGATTTACTAGATGTTGTGAGTTATTAATAATGAATTCAGCTTTCAATATTTCATAGTTCCCCATTCTCTGTTTATTATATACAAATATTGAACAGTAAGAGATTCTAATTATAAATTTATAGATTTCTTGGAGCAGAAAAAAATCATGTATAAGTTGAAGCTTTTCATAATATGTGTTAGTGGACAGGGAGCAGTGATTGTAATAGCCTTAGTATGATATCTAATAATGTCTGGGAGGGAGAATGTTTATACCAAATAAGAAGAAGTTTGCATGCATTAGAAATGTCAAAGCCGAGGCTGATTTGTGAAAGAGTTTTCTGAGTGTCAGTTTTAACCAACATTACATAACAGGAACCATTTTATAGTCTATTTTGAAACCTTTAGACAAATGTCTTCAAAAATAATTGCTAAACTGCATGTGACAGTAATTGTGTATTAGTTCTGTAATTGTCATTTTGAAGACCTATGAAGTATCGTTTGAAAAATGTCACTAGTGATAAGAGTTAATTACAACTGAAGTCTGTTTTCAACTATTTGCAGTTAGAAGCAGGTGTTATTACACTCATTAAATGATTTCATAAATCCTGGGTTTTATCACATTTGATTAAGTGCTGCTGAACTACTGATGGTCAATTCCAGGAAAAATAGTTTTAATTACTGCAGTTAAAAAAATTAATCATCAAGCAGAACTGTACATTCTAAATGTCAAGATTTTTGAATCATGGAAAATTAGAACTTCCCCCTGCTTGTTACAAAATTATATTTCACTTAATCCACAATAGCATATTGCAGAACATATTGTGTTCAAGTCTCACACGTTAATGTTCATATTCCTAAGGTCTGAGTAAATAACTTTGCTGTTACAGGTCAAAAATATAACTGCTAATTTAAATCACTTCATATACAATTTATATAGGAAAGATGTAGTGTCTGTATGATTTAAGTATCATATACCTTTTTTAAACAATGTTTTCCTTCCTATTGTTAACAGCCATTTCACTACCCCCTTTTTCCCAAGGTTTTAGACGCTTTATCACCCCAGTTAACCACATTCTCCTTTCACATTAACCTAACCTGACATACGATGAAAGAACATAAGGAGGTTTAATTTTTAGCTGACACAGGGTCATTAGTTTCCAACTCCAAGAACAAAGGCTTTAAATACCTTTATGCAGATAATTTCAACTATATATTGTCACCTGACCATTGTGGTTTGAAGATTTCCAGGACAGATGGACTAAATATCTCAAGTTTAACCAGAAGTCTTGTGCTGGCTGCTTTCAATGAGGATTGGGTATTTGAATGGTTCCTTTTCCATTTTTCACTTCATGGAGTATTTTTCAGCACTGGACTTCATTCTAACCTTTCCCTCCCCCCTTTGTTTGGCTTTTGTTTCGCAACAGCTGTTATTATCGTTTTTGGTCAGCTGTGATTGCTGGAGGCAAAATAGGACCAGATGGTGTTTTGCTATGCATGAATGGAGAGTTAGAGGAGTTTGAATTGAATAGGCCAAGTTTGAATGGTGTCTATGCACCACCTGCCCCCTTCAGCAGCAGCATACACATCATAGTAGCATGATCTGTCTCAGACCTACTAGAATTGGATGGGAATGGACAGAGCCTTGTTGGATTTTCTCCATATTTATTGATCTTCCATGCACTAACAGCATAATGCAGTACACAGTCAATTTGAGTTAATTGGATATGACACAGCATGTACATGTAATCTATCACTCTAGTCTCTTGGTACACTTCAGGTTTTGCTGCCACAAAAACATGCATACTCAGTAGTAGCCTACATTAATAAGATAAGTAGGTGGAAGGCAAATAGGATCATTGCACAGTGTACTTTAACAAAATATACTGTAGTACTACAAATATGCAATTTAACCTGCCGGAGAATAAACAAATACATGCATTAAACTTATTTGGCATAGAGTGGATACAGTATTTTGGCACACACAAAAGGCAAGATGCCCCAGGATTTTTTGATTTGCCTCTGAAATTTAAAAACAAGGTTTCTTTTACGTGTTAATAACATTACTAACAATAAGACAATTCAGAGGGTATCTGCCTATTTTAAAGGGTGAGAGCATTTTACTGTCTGATCAACACAAACTAGTCATTAACACATGCTAGTTTACTTGTTCCCCCACAACCAGCTTGGATGACTAAAGGGCTTCTTTGGAATCCTGAAGCCAATCAGTGATGGCAGTTGTGATAAGACTGATCTTCTAAGGATATCAAGGAGCCAAGACACTTCTCATTAAAAGAAATTGAAAGCCACTAGGTAGAATAGGGATGGTTTGGCTTTGACTGCATAAAATGCCAAGGTTGTTGTAACCATATGTTCAAATGCACAATAAATATGAAAGTGGCAGCTTGACATCATTACAAGTCAGTGGCACAGTTGCAACCCTTTTGAAAAAGCAAATTGTGGTGCCTTTGCCTAGGCTGCTGGGTAGAAAAACAAGCTGTTGTCTTATGAAGCAAAACTTTAAAAATAACAATACCTTCACTGAAAAATTCTCCAATGTTTGCAAGTGACAAGGAATTTCTACTTTTGCAAGGTGGAGCAGCATGGAATCCTGGGGAGGACTTCTTTTGCGGAGTCAACAAGCTGCTGAAGGTAGATAGATGTACATAAAGGATACAGAAAAAATGGGACAATGTTATTTTAAAATGCTAAAACCTTTAACAAAAGATGTGCTGCCTGAGGGGAGCTTTTCAGATATAGAAATAGTGCATGCCTGTGATGCATGCAGCACTATGTTTGTCTCTTCTATGAAGTAGAGAGGAAATGTGTTGTGTCACATCACCAGTCCAAGCACATAGAACATTCAATTCTTCAGCACCTGCACCAGTGTGACCTACATGCTTTTTTAGCAATATAACTGTTTTGGTCAGGGGCATGATCAAGGGCAAAGGTTCTTCCAAACCTAACAGCCTTGGGCTAGCACAGTTAAGATGCACCACTTTATATAGCTGAAAGCATATCAGGGCATGATGGGACTGGCAGAATGTATATCAGATTCTGATTTTAATACAAAGTGCACTGATAGCAAACACAGACATCTCATTAACGCAAGTAGGGAAAAATAAATCCTATATTTTAGGGTATAGTACAGTATATAGGATACTGGAGTTACTATAGCTGTTTGGAAAATATCTCTCCCTCCCTCTTTCTTTCAATATAAATGCAGTCCTTCACCCTCACTTCAGAAAGTCTGTCCAGAGCATGCTAATTGTCTTGCACAAATAAAACACCTTTGAACAAGAAGAGTGATAAAGTCCAGTAATCCCAATTAATTCTTTTAATCTTCAAAACAGTTGACCAAGGTGAATTAGTTGATGCATGTTTATGTACTCCTATGGTTTCATCTGTGTGGTTTGTAAGCTATCCATTGGGGAATTCAAAGCATGGCTAAGGAACACATCAGACAATGATACCAACTAGGACCAGAGTGAAGTACTAGGGTTACCTACATAGCGTTTAATTCTTACCTTAGGTTTTATCATTTTCCCACAGAAATCGATGGAAGACAGACCATTACCGATCTTGTAATCAGTTGCAAGTTAATTCAATCAAAGGGTGAAATTCTGGCTTCACTGAAATCAAGGATCCAGCTCCCATAACTTCAGTGGGGTCAGTATTTCCCTGCGCTAATTTTTCCCCTGTATCAATTCTTTTTGCTTTCACATATAAACAACTTTCAACTGAAATCTGCAAAGTTGATTGTCTAGAGCATCTGGGAAAATAGTCATAATTTAAATGCATTAAGTAAAATGATAATGTTATTTGGCTTCAGTTAATCAATAACAGGGGAAATATAATGCTTTAGTTTTATTAACCTTCTGCTGTGCACTACAAAGTCAAATGAAATCAGAAATACTTTCTTTTTTTAATTTGCACAAATTGGGTTTCTCAGCCTAGACTTCATCTTTGGGAGGGCTTTTTTCCCCGCCTTGCCATTTATCTGTGTGTTTTATCTGAAGTTTGTTTGTTGCTTTAGAAC